GCCGATCTTAAGGATTCCCTCAGTTTCTGAGGGCTTATCCCTAAGATTGTCCTCGCTTTTTGCTAGCCCATCTTAGGGATAGGGATACGTTCGAGGTTGGTTAAGAGGGGGATGAACGAGGAGGCGGAAAAGGGAGCGGGAGGAGGCGGAAAGAGGAGGCGGGCAGTGCCCGCTCAGCAGCTCACAGCGCTCTGAGCAGACTACAGCGCAGCAGTTACGTAACTGCTGCGCTGTAGTTTGCTCAGAAGCGCGCTATGCGCGTTTGCCAATAGCAAGTTGTACTTTCGAAATCACGATCCAGGCTTTTATGGTTATGTGGCCCCAGTGGGGGTGGGGTGTGTATATATCTATATATATATATATATACATACAGTCCCACTCCCTCAGTTACTGCAGTCCCACTCCCTCCCACCTGCTACTCCACCTTCCCCGCGGTTGACAGCAACCGCCGCCTCTGTGCCAGCAGCCACGCACCCGCGTACCCCACTTGTCCGCTCCCCCCATCCGAGGTTATGATGAGACCTCCTTCTCCCCCCCGGTTCCCATTCACGTCTGTCACGCGCTCCTCGTTCTGAACCCTTTCAGGAAGGGGGAAAAACGCACAGACACAATTAATCGTCGATTCCCCGGAGTATATGGGAAACTATGGGAAGTGGGGAAGAAAACAGAAACCCAGAAGATATGGGAAAATATGGAAAATCTTGTTATTTGTGTCTATTTATTTGTGTGTCCCAGTCTCCCTTTACCCCCGACCCTCCGACCAGAAAGGTCGCGTGGCACACATCGTTCGATCATCCCACCCCCCCTAGTCCCTAGTGCCGCCAGGCCCTGGGGGGGGGGGGGGGCCAGGGGGGGACGGCCGCGCTGGACGAGCCCACGGTCCGAGAGAGAGAGAGAGAGAGAGCGGAGGGGGAGGAGGAGGAGGAGGAGGAGGAGGAGGAGGAGGAGGAGGAGGAGGAGGAGGAGGAGGAGGAGGAGGAGGAGGAGGGTGCCATGAAGGGGCACGTGACCAAAAGGTATGCCGACCTGGCTCGACGACCTGCCGCGAGCTCTGCCTGTCTGGTGGGTCGGCCAGAGTTCGTCGATCGGCTTCGGCTTCTCGGGCGTTTGCGTGATCCGGGCACGTACAGTCGGGCCGCTGAAGAAGGAACTTTTTCGTTGGGGAGGTGATCAGTGTTCTTTCAGTGTTTTACAGCTTGTCGTAGGTGTCCCTTAGGTCCCCAGGTCTTACAAGGGAAATCAAGAGTTGAATCATGCGATCGTTTTTAATTCATTGTTTTGCCGATCGGCGCGGGCCCTCGCACCCCCTCCTCCCCCCCTGGACTAGATCTTGGCTGTTTTTTGGCGCCTGTTTCAAGCAGGTGCCGTCTTCCCCATACGTAATGGACACACTGTTGCAAACAGTCGCACTAAACAGAGGTCCGGAGCTAGACCCCCTCCCCCTTCGTAAGGGGGGACATCTGGGACTATTTGGGGATCGTGTTCTTTAGATATGTTCATACGTTAGAGCTCGTTTTGGTTTTTGTGTTTTTGTATTATTATGGCGGCGTCTTCCTCCAAGATATCCGAAAACGTTGTTTCGTTGCGCTGTAGCGAGATTGAGGAAGTCGAACTAACTCATTGATTGGAAGCCTGTTTGAACGCCGTTAGCGAAAGAAGCCTACCGAACGCATGTGCACATGAAATCGTATTGAAAGCCGTCATACAAACAAATCCTATTGAAAACGGTTACACCTTGAATTCGACTGAAAGCTGTTACTACATGAATTCTATTGAACGCCGCTACAAAAGGAATCTTATTGGAACTGCCTAGAGCCTACTCCAGAACAGGATTTCCCAGACACTTTTCCAGGAAAACAAGAAAACAAGGGGAACAAGGAAAAACAAGGAACACACATCGAAAACCACGGGAAAATTGAATTGTTTTTTGGTTTTCGCCGTCTTCTCAATGTTTATAGTTGTTTTCCCTGTTTTCCCTGGGAAGGCCTTGGGCGCTTTCGCCAAAACGTTAAAAAGGAGTTTTATTGAACGCCGCTACAAAAGCAATCCGATCGAAACCGTTACACAAGGAATTCTTTTGAACGCCGTTACAAAAGGAATCCGATTGAAAGCCGGCACACAAAGATTCCATTCCAAAGCCGCCACAAAAAGGAATCCCATTGAAAGCCGCCACAGAAGGAGTCCTTTTGGAAATGCCTAGAGCGTACCCAAGAGGATTTCCCAGACCCCTTTCCAGGAAAACAAGGAAAACAAGGAACACACAGGGAAAAACAAGGGAAATTGAGTTGTTCCTTGTTTTCGCTGTGTGTTCCCTGTTTATCATTGTTTTCCGTGTTTTATTTGTTTTCCCTGGAAATGCCTTGGGCGCCCTCGCAAAAGCGTTAAAAGGAATTCGATTGAACGCCGCTACAAAAGCAATCCGATCGAAAACCGTTACAAAAGGAATTCTTTCGAACGCCGTTACACAAGGAATCCTAATGAAAGGCGGCACACAAGGATTCCATTTGAAAACCGTTACAAAAATAATCCCATTGAAAGCCGCAACAAAAGAAATCCTATTGGAAATGCCTAGAGCGTACCCCAGAGGATTGCTTAAGTCCCTTTCCAGGGAAAACGAGGAAGACAGGGAAAACACGGACAAACAATGAACACACAGCGAAAAACAATGGAAATTATGTTTGTCCTTGTTTGTCGCTGTGTTTTCCTTCTTGTTCCTTGTTTTCCTTGTTTCCCTTGTTTTACAAGGAAAGTCCTTAGGTGCCTTCGCAAAACCATTCAAAGGAATTCGATTGAACGCTGCTGCAAAAGGAATCTTATTGAAAACGTTACATAAGGAATTCTTGTGAACGCCGTTACAAAAGGAATCATATTGAAAGCCAGTGCACCAGGATTCCATTTGAAAACCGTTACGGAAATAATGATGGTGTAACGGTTTTCAATGGGATTCTTTTGTGTAGTAGCGGGTTTCAACAGGAATCCTGGCATTCCTTTTGTGACGGTTTGCATTTGGATTTCTTTTGCAACGGTGTTCAATAGGATTCCTCATGTAGCGGCTTGCAACCGGATTCTTTGTGCAACGGTTTTAAATTTGATTATTTGTGCACTGGTTTGCAACAAGGATTCCTTATGCAGCGGCGTTCAATAGGATTCCTTTTTGTAGCAGCTTCCAATATGATTCTTTTTCCACAGCTTTCAGTAATATTCCGTTTGTCACAACTTTCAATTGATTTGTTTTTGTAACGTCTTTCGGTCGGATTCATTTTTTTCTAACGGCTTTCTACTGAATTGCTCTTGTAAGAGAGGTTTCAATCGAATTCCTTGTGTAACGGCCTTCCATGGGATCGATTCCTTTCGCGAGAGCCTTCAATCGGAGGCCGACTCCTGGTGTCGTAGGTTTATAGGAGGGTCTTCGTTGTCACCGTGCTTGAATGGGATCCTTTTGTAATGCGAATGCGACCGGATGGGCGTCGATGCACCCGCCACCTTGCATGGGCTGGATTTGACTTTGTCGGAGGTGCACGAGGATCTCGCGTCGCCAACTCATGCGACTTGGATCCACATGAAAATGCCCAGGCAGTTCCGAGCATCGCTGCAATACGTGCGGGCTTCCTGGCAACTCCAAGAGGATTCTTGCCCAGATCGGATCCCTTGCGCCGAGCAATGGAATTGCACAGCCGATGTCAACGTAATGCCATGGAAATGTCAGCGCAATTCCAGTGCCGTGCGCGGTGCAGGTGAGATGCCAGCGCAATGACAATGCAATGTGGCGGAAACGTTGCACTTATGCCGCTGCAACGCAAACGCGATGACATGGCAATGCCAGTGAGCCAGCGCAGCGCAATGCCAATGCAATGGAAATGGCAATTCGACGGTTCAGACATTCGAGCGCAATTCTTACCGCAAGGGTACCGCTGCGCCAAAACTATGACGAGTTCACGATGCCGCAACACCAGCGCAGTTCCAGCGCAATGCTACCGCGACGCCGACGCGTTGCGAGTTCAGCGCAAGCGCAGAGGCATCGCGATGTCATTGCAGCGCCAACGAAATGCACGCGCAATGCGTTTACAATGCGAAGGCAAGGCCAGCGCGCTGCCATGCAGCTGCTGACCCAACGCGAGCGGAATGCCAACGCTTTGCCACAGCAGCGCCAACTTAGCGCCAATGCGCTGCCGATGGACTGCCGATGCCAATGCAATGCCACTGCAAGTCCGATGGTATTCACCAACGCAATATCAGCGCGGTGGGCTCACAAGGTCAAATCAATGTCTGCGCAATGCCAACGTGAATTGGATTTCCAATGACGTGCCAGCTCAATTCCATCGCGCATGCATACCAGCGAACTGCAAACGCAATGGATCGCCCCGCAACCCAAGCCAATGAAAGCGCAAGGGCAGCGCAATCGCAATGTCATGCTAATCTGGCGGTTGAAAAAATCCTCTGTGCTGCGAATGCGGTGGCAGCGCGGCGCCAACGCAATGCTCATGCAATGCCAGATGGCGCAAGCGCAGTGCCAGCGTGAGCCCCGCGCAATGTCAACGAGCAGCAAATGCAATGCCAACGCGCTGCCAAGGCAATGCCAGCGCAGCAGACACGACGTCGGCGCGAACGCCAGCGCAGTGCCAGCGCAACTCAGGCGCAATGCCGATGCGACGAGAATGCGATGCCATTGCGGGGCCGTGGTGACGAGAACGCAAGTTGAACGAGAGGCGATTGAAGTGCGCGCGCAGTCCCACTGGCAGGTTTCAACGATATGGTTTTCTCCATTATCGAACGCCGCTGCACTGCAGCGCAATCTGCATGGGGCGCAATTGCATCGCAGTGCAGCACGCAAAGGCAGAGCCGCTGCAACGGCAGGCCCAAGCCGCTGCAGTGTCAAATAATGAGGCCCCATTGCAATTGCAATG